TAAGAAGGTAAACATGCTGTTCCATTCAAAAGCACGCATCTGCAGCGCCGTGGTTCAGCCCCAGGTTGGGATGGGGCACATCCGTCCATAAGAATGTTGGGCCAATTGTAAGTTGTGGAAATGTGAAATATGAATAAAAACGCATTTTGTCTAAAACTGTTCCCTTACCCTAATTCTTTGTCAGTCTTCCTTTTCCCTTCTTTTTTAAAAAGCCAGTTCTTGCTAGGTCTTTTGCACTGGAAAGGCTCCCAGACTAGCTAGGCTAGTGCGTTTCTTCATGCTTATCTGAAAGGGCCCTTCAGCTTGAGGGTTCCCTTCTAATAGAAGAGCCAGGATTGGAAGGCGAGGAATGATTCAGCCCATTTTCCTGCCTTTGAGCTCTGTGTCCTTCATGTGTGCATCTAGGCCCTGTGTACTAGCACACCGCTCCCTCTGCTCCTGAAGCCTGGAAATCAGCGCTGAGCTGCCAAGAGGGGCGTGCCAGGGCCGCTATGTCTCCTGCCTGCCCGGGAAGACAGACTTTAGGAACATAGCCTTTTTTTTTTTGACTTAAAAATTATCATAAATGACAATAGTGGCTTTCATATCTTTTTTTATCCCCTTTGTTCTGGCCATGTTTGTGGTGGTTCTGGCTGGGGCTTTTTCTTTGTTTACTCTACATGTGTATGTGTATGTGTATGTGTATGTGTATGTGTATGTGTATGTGTGAGTGTGTGTATATAGAGGCATGTATATGGATGTATGTATAAGACATGGGTATGTAAAGATGGAACATACGTGTATATATGGAGCAAGGAAGTAAGTGAAAGATCAAAATAAGATAGAAAGGATTAGAACTCTTTAAAGTATGGTAACAAAAGTAACATGTTTTCCTGAAAAGAGAACCTAAAAAGAGAAAGATAATTAATAGTTACGAAACTTTTCTGTTATATTTCTCTAAAATGTCACACTAAATAAAGTAGTTTAGGTAGCTTAAATGATTTATCAATTGATTAATTGACTGTGATGCTAGGGATTGAACCCAGGGCCTTGTTTGTGCTAAGCAGGAATCACAGCCCCAGTTCTGGCCAACATATTTAAATCTTGCTTTGATATTACTATTTGGCCTCTTTTTTAAAAAAGTCTTTTGCCTTGTATGGTAGCAGCCAATTTAAAACTAATTGATGAGCCTTTGTATGTGGTTCTCCCTTTCCTGCTGGCATCTGCATCATGGAGGGCTGGGAAGGCCTAAGGGACTTTCAGGTAATTGGAGCCTAGCTGAGCCTGAATCTGTTGCCGCAGTGTAGAAGCGCTGAACCCTTTGCTGCAGCTTGGAGAATGGCTTCACCCTTTCCCACCCTCCTAGGTGGATGCTGTTATCTGCATTTTAGAGAACATAATACGAGGCTCTGAGAAGTTCTTTCCCCTCCTCTAGGCTGTGCAGCTGGTACATCGGTCACAGAGCCCTGGCAGCCTGCTCCTGCTTGTGGCCTTTGCTCCCTGCCCTGGGCACTCTTGCTCCCTTGCTTGGCAGAACGAGGGTGTTGGTCCAGGCTCATCACCTGTGTGGGTTCTGCAGGACTGGTAGTCGGTGCTGGAAGCCTGAGTGTGAGAGAGGTGGCGGCAAGGGATCTGTGCCTGGCAGGGAGCAGGCCTGGTGGTGCCGGAGTCCCAGCTCCAAGGCCACACGAATGTGGTATTTTTCATTTCTTCCGCCCCTTAGAATGTATACTCTTATGAAAAATGTGAAGTGCATTATGTGGCTTTGTTGAAAGTTATATGAGAAGGGTGGAACAGAAACATACTCAGTTGTCACTGCCTTTTTTTAATTTTAAAGAGTTAAAAACAAAACCAAAATGACAAAAACAAAGAAGCAAAACAACATACTACAATACAAATGGTACAAAATTTCACATATTATTGCCAAGTTTGTTGGACCAATTACTAGATATAGGTATGCAAAATTGGTCAAATACTTGAGCATTGTCTCCTTTCAATAAACCTTAATTTTTTCTTGTCCTTTTTACTATTTATTTTTTAATTTATTTTAAAGAGTATAATAATAATTGATAAGACATTAGAAATGATGCACATTTAGAAGAACAAGATGAGAGGTATCCAACTGTGGTTTTTATATTGTCCATTGCTGTCTCTGTGTAGTTGCTCAGATACAGATATTAGCATATGGAGTTAGTCAAAGTAAAGATTTTAAACATTAACTGCTATTTTCAAAAAACGGATGGAAATTAGTAGTACAATCATCTCAGCTATCCTGTATATATATTACACGATTTTTCCCCCTTTCTTTTTTTCCCTGTCTTTTCTCCTTTCCCTCATCTCCATTGTTTATTCCTTATGTTCAGTTTCTTTCCATTTTACTGTCTCTATTGTACCTTTCAGATTTTATTTATTCATTCAGGTTCTTACACTAGGGAGACAACTGCCCTTTTTCATGAGCTCAATTCAGTAAACTTTCATCAAGTACTATTCCCTTTCCCTCCCTTCCCTCTCTCCTCCTCTCCCTCTCCTCCCAGTCCTCTTCCTTCCCCCTCCTCCTGCCAGCCCCTCTTTCTGTGCAGAGGATGGAGCCCTGCCAGGTAAGGGCTCAAGGTATAGCCCCAGGACTTTTACTTTTTATTTTGAGGCAGTGTCACTAAGTTGCCTAGACTGAGTTGGCAGCTTGGGATCCTCCTGCTTCAGCCTCCTAAGGAGCTGGGCTTACAGATGTGTGCCACTGCCTCGTGCTGGTCCCCACTGTTTGACATTCCTACAGCCTCATTTTAGAAATCTGACCTTCTCCTTTTTCCCCACACTCTCCTATTTATGATGAAAGTAAAAACTTAAGCGACTTACAAAGACTCAAATAAACACTCTAAAATTCAAGTTTTAGCTGTAATTAGCTGATTAGAAAGTTTTCTACTGTATTTGCTTTGGATTAGGCATTTGTATTCTAGTTATATCCACTTCTAGTGCCAACACTTTGTACTGACTAAAGGAAAATCCTAGTAATAGTGAAGGAATTTATCGTTCTACCTGCTTATCCTGTAATTGCCTCCCAGGAGGCAAGAGCCATGGGAACCCCGGATCAGAGCACTGGGAAACACCAGCGTTCAAACATTCCACATAACTTTTGCACCAGATCACCATTGCTGTTATTCTGGATTGGTGTGTGGGTGACAGAGTCAAGGATGGAGGTGGGGTGCATGGGGTAGCTGGCACAGAGGGTGAGTGAGCTACAGGCGCCTGGGCCCTTGCCTGTGTGCTGTGTGGTGACTACTCCATGGCAGGGATCCTTCTGGATTCTCATGAATCTTTCCTAGTATTGCAGGGAGCAGGAAGAACAGAGAAATGCACAGCCTTTCCTCTGGCCCCCTTACATAGGAGGCTGCTGGTGGGAGTTTAGACTTCACAGGACCTTGTCCCCTCTCGGGGTGACCCTCTCCCCTGTTACTTCCCCCACATCCCATCTTTTGTGAGGCACTAGTGGACTTCATGACCGGTTGTGTTTCTCTTCTTTACCTCTGTAACCAAGTGTAATAGTGACCCTATTCCTCCTTGCAAACCCTTCAAGTAATCAGTGATCTCCTTCAGAGTGACTCTTGGGGGGTCACAAAAATACCTAATCAGGTGAACTTTTTCACTGCTGTCTTCATAGGTTGACTCATATTAAGCTCTAAATCCGCAAGGTGAATCCCACAAGTCCATGGGTACTCTTTGGTAATTCCTTATTGCTAATCTTTTAGTTTCTCAAACCCAATGCTAATAATTATTCACTTCTTTTACATTTCCTAAAATTTAATAGACCAGTTATTTTAAATTTGCATTTTGTTGAAAAAAAACTCTATGTTTAAAACTTTTTTATTGATTCAATTTGATCAATATTCCTTATAAGAGAATATATTTGTATATATTTAAAACATATACTTATGTTTTATTTTCTGCTGTTTCTCATGTAGACGACATCTGATATTTCGATCGACACACTGTTTTCTCTCCTTTGAGTCTGGATTTGGAGCGAGGGTCAGGGTTGTGTAGACAGAGCGTTGAAGGCACACCTGCCTACAATGCTGAACTGGGGGTAGAAGCATCACTTATCTAGAAAGGAAATGAAACCAGAACAGAGCAACAGCACGAGGAACAGATCCACTGAAATGATCATAGATCTGGCAAAGGAACTTCAGCTTAAATGGAGCTGGCATAGATGCTCTAAGTGGATGTTGCATTTATTTAAATCATAAAAAATTATTTTAGTAAAACATCATATGACCCCATTGATAAAAGTACAAAGTTGAGATCATACCCTGAAACTCATTCTGTGTATTTGAAATTATGAAAGTATAACATTTCCTTGGAGGCGCTGTCATTTACGCCATTCCCAGAGTCTGTGAAATTTGGGTGACTAGACAGGACTACACCAGGCACCTTTAACTCCATGCCTCCCTAATTTGTTTGTTTGTTTGTTTTTCATTTAACAATAGATACTGTCTGTGCTACAGGTATGTTGTTAGGTTATGCTTAAAATGTAAAATTTTTATCATTTATAATGGGAAAATTTGTCATTTATATTTAAATGCTTTTATGGTGTATTAAACTTTTTCTTACCAAATGTGTTCACTAGTCATTCCAAGATAAATTATCTTTGTGATTTCTTGCTTATTCTGCTTTGTTTTACAGTTATTCTATTCAATGAGCTCTTTATAATTTAGAACCAAAGAAAATTAATATTATAGTTGGATAAAGGTTATATATCTGTCTAAATTACTATTTTATGAAATTGCATAGTATGTTTTGCTGTTATTAAATACACTTGAAACAGTAGTATGGTGAATAAAATCTGACCCAACTTTGAGGGGTTTTGTTTTGGTTTGGTTTTTGTGGTGCTGGGGATTGAAACTAGGGCATGGCTTTTGCCACTAAGCTATATCTCCTGCACCACACTGCGAGATTTTTATTTTTATTTTTTGGGTTCTTTTATTTTAGTTACTAATAAGAGTTTTTTGGTTTTTTTTTAAAATTTGCAGCTGGTTTTAGAAGAAGTTTCCGTCTTAGCAGAAAAGATAAGAAAACAAATAAATCCATGTATGAATGCAAGAAGAGCAATCAGTATGATACTGCTGATGTTCCCACCTATGAAGAAGTGACGCCGTATCGGCGACAAACTAATGAGAAATACAGACTTGTTGTCCTGGTTGGTAAGTGTATTTTTGTATATAATTCTGAGGAAATATGTAAAGTAGCAAGAATTTAACTCCAAAGTGCTTAACAGTTGAAGCTACAAATCCTCTCAACTTGAACACTCTGCTTAGTGTCTAAAATGAAATATTTAGTCTTTTGTGCTTGTGTATCATTCAGAGGCGGTTAAGATCTGTGAAGGATGGTTATTGGTGAGTTGGTGAGCCCTCTATTGGGGAGAGCTGGCAAACATCTCTGCCACTCCTGAACCATAACAGGGCAACTCACTAGGGACAGGAGTATTTTTAATACAATTCAAGTTTTTTCAATTCATTTTGAGGCAGTAGGTATGGTATAAGCTTCCAGCACATTTAGAATTTCAGCAAAATAGTTACGGCAGACTTCAAGGATATATATTGCAAGCTAGACAGTCAGTTAACAAAAACTACTTTGAAGTAGCTAATAAATGCATGTGGCTATTTCTCCAAACGTTGGTTTCTTTGTAGTAACTTTCCAGAATTTACCTTGTCTAGCCTTTGTGGACCTGGGAGGACACAACCTTACATTGCTGTGCCCCACCCTCACTGTGGTTCCTTAAAAATGTGCTGAGAGGTATGTCAGCTATCAGGATCTGAGCCAATGATTTTGGAAAAGCTTTGGAATAGAAGGAGCACACTGTCTCTTGTTAATTGTTCCTTTGTGAACTCAAGATGACAGTTATTGGGATGAGAATAATAAATGGAAAAGCTGAAGAATTACATCTTAGTGAGGAGAAACACTTTGGAAGGTTTCAGTATGTGAGTTGAAACAGTGGCATAAGTATGGTGTGTGGGGAAGTGTTTCTTACATCTTGTGGTGCCACAAGTGATTATTAGCCTCATCAGATACCAGAATTGTTTGCATAGTTTAGAAATACATATTCATGCACTTTAGAGAAAAAATCAAAACCTCCCTTTTCAGCAGTGTTCACATGTCATCCATGTGTACAGAACCTCCCCAAACCATACCTAGAAGAATATTTCTCTAGGTTTGTTTTGTTCTTTTGAGACAGAGTGTCATGTAGCCCAACTTCTGGCCTCAACTCCTGGTGCTTCTCCTGCCTCAGCCTCCAGAGTGCTGGGGTTACAGACATGCCTTCTGACTCCCAATGTTGCTTGTGTTTATGGAGGGCTCACAGTGCTTCTAGTTCTAGTTCCTTGTTCCAGTGGAGCCACACTGATATCAGTATAAGCATGTCATGGTTCATAACACAGAGCCCCGTGGTTATGTATAAGTCCTGCATTCCCTCATTAGGCTACTTGAGATATCCCATCTGTCTCCCAACTCATTGTCCCTACTGGGCCTTCCCGTCACAGCTCTGAGTTTGTCCCAGTTACTCTTTTGTTATTGCTAGGACAAAATACCTAAAAGCCAAAATTAAAGAAGGAAAGGTTTATTTAGCTCACAGTTTGTGGAGGTTTCAGTCCGTACTCAGCTGGCTCCAAGGCAGGGTGGTACAGGGCAGAGGACAGCAGCTCATGGTGGTGGAAAGCAGCAAGACAGCAAGAGCAAAAAGGGAGTAAGCCTCTCTCCCTGTCTTATATTGCCCGTAACAGACCTCAACAGTGCCTCCCTTTCTCTTTCCTCTTGTCCACATCCCAAGGGACTTATTCCTCCAACCAGGCCCATCTCTGAATAGCACATTCAGCTGTGAATTCATCTGTTGATGAGAATGGGTACCCTCATGATCAAATCACCTTCCAAGGCCCCGCCTCTGAACTCAGGAGCCTCAGGCGGAACATTTTGTATATAAACCATTTCGCCCTGTCTCCTAAAGGCTCATGTCTATCTCCTTATGAAAAATGCATTCCGTCCATCTTAAACCTCTGTGAAACACAAATAGCAAGTTGTATACTCGCAAAATATGTAGGCATAAGGTGAGCATTTTCATTCTCAAATAGAGGAATAAGGAAAAGGAAGACATAGAACCAAAACAAGACTGAAGGCCAGGAAGGCAGACACTAATCCCATAGCCCCATGTTCAGCATCTGGAGCACGTGCCCCAAAGGTCGCGGTCAGCTGTGCCTCTGTTGCCATCTTGCATATGTGGTCACTCTCCTGGAGCTAGCACTGTTTGCTGTCTGCAGTTTTCCTTAGTATGAAAGGTTCCATGTTTTATGTTTCTGGCCTATTTAGATTCCTGGGGTTTTCTTTGTCACTTTGACTTCACTTCCATAGCTTCACACATTGCCCTTTTAGGGGCTTCTGCGAGGAGCTCTGAACCTGTGACACATTGTTTACCCTCACAGCCTTGTTTGAAAGTCTGAGTAAAAACTTCTGTGACCCTACAACTCTTGCATTTCATATGCCTAAAAAATGAGAAACTCATGGATGATGCCAAGATCTATCTCCAGTTCAAGAAGTAGCTAGCCCCCTTGGACCATGGTTACAGTAGCCTCTGAATGCTTAGATGGCTGAGGACTGTGGAATGAATCACAGGGCACCAATTTCCCAGGTGGCCCTCCTTGAGCGGGAGGCCAAGGGACTTTCTTCTCAAATGAAAAACCCTTGAGCTGGCACTAAATTGGCTCTTTCTGATTTCTGAGATGTCTTCAAGTTTTCTTCTTGTCCCAGTACAAAGTACTTGGCTGCCTTGTAGTGGTAATGATCACTTCACCATCTACTTTGTTTGACCCTAAGTTTACATGTGCTTCATTTCTGACCAAACTTTAAGTTTTTAAGTATTTCTTGTCTACTTTTTGTTGTGAATTCTCACTATAGATCTGGATAACAGTAGCTAGGAGTACTCAGGCCACAGCCTGAACATTGGACTGCCTTGAAATTTCCCCTGCCATGCAGTACAGGGTTTCAGGATAAATCTGGCGGGGATTTGACTGACTTTGTCAGATTTGAAAGTTACATTTCTTGTTATATAGGTCTTGCTTTATCTTGGTTTTAACCATCCAGCAGAAAAGTATAAAAATGAAATATAAAAAGTAAAGCCATATTAATATGTTGAGCTGTGAAAGGCTCAAGTCAACAACTTCTGACATTGCCAGTCCTACAGAAAACCCACTATTATGGACTACTGGACTATATTGGAATATTTTGCTGAATTCATGCACCTGCAATATTTAAATGACAATGGAATGCCCTTCTCTGACAAAACTAACCAAAACAGGGTAAACAAATGAACAACCATTTTGTATCTGTATATGCAAAATAGTTAGGATAGAGATACAGCTACTTTCTCTTAATTTAATGAATAGAAAGAGTTGTTCTAATAGTGTTTGTGGACAGGATATCATGTCTGCATCTTGTACTATGAATAGCCACTAAGAAGACAACAATATGCAATGTATTAATTATTGAAACTGTCCTACTAATTGGTTTTGAAACTGTCTCATTGCTATTTGTTTCTCAATAAAATTATTAAAATATAAATAAATAAATAGACGTCCCCTGCCAGATTGGCTAGTTCCTTATCTTTAAGCTCACCTTCTACAAAGACTCGGAATACAGACACAATGTGGATAAATTCTTTGCCAGAATATGATTCAAATGGCCGTTAGTCCTATTTTAGTAGAGTCCCTGTTCCCATCTAAAATTTCCTAAGTACAGTCTTTATAGCTCCACTCCATCAGTTCTCTGGTCTTCTGAACTTAGACCAGAATTGCCCATCAAGCTCTGTGTATAGCCTTCTAAGGCTTCTGAAATCCAGTTCTGCTAACTTTTCCAAACTCTTGGCACAGAACGTTTCCAAAGACTTTTTTTTTCTTTTCTTTTCTTTTTTTTTTTTTGGAACTGGGGATTGAACTCAGGTCCTTGTGCTTGCCAGGCAAGTGCTTATTCTACTAAGCCATCTCCCTAGCCCAAGACTTCTGAAGCATATGTGTGGGTATAGTTATACTGATAATCCTACTTCTTTGCTCTCAATTTTCTGTTTTAATCACCTTTCTATTGCTGTGACCTACACAGCTTAAAGGAGAAAAGTTTTGTTTTGGCTCATGCTTTCAGCAGTTTCAGTCCAGGGTTAGCTGGCTCCAAGGCAGAAGTGTCATGGCAGTAGGTCACGGGGGAGGACGACTGTCCACCCATGGCGGCTAGGAAGCAGTGAGAGAGGAAGCGCCAAGTGCAGAGGGCTGCCCTGTGAAGGAGTGCCCCTGCTGTCTAACTGGGATGGCACATTTAGCTATGAACTCATCAGTGGATTGCTCTTTAGTGAGGTTAGTACCCAGCTGTCTAATCACCTGCTGAAACCCCCACCTCTGAACCCCTGAGCATCTTGCGAACATTTTTAATAGAAACCATGACAACCAATAAATTCCAGAGGTATTCTAGGCTGCCTTTCCTCATGTGGAGTCATTGTCTTACTGGGAAACTTAGGGTCAGCCTGTGTTCTAAGGTCACTTTTCATTGTCTGCTAGGCCACCTTGACTCTGTCAGTTAAGTGGCTATTGGTTTATTCAGAGACACATGGGGTGGACTGCATCTTAGTTCATTTCTCAAGACCTTTGTGGAGGTACTAGGGGTTCATGACACTTGCACACAGCTTGGGGAGCATGTGTGGAGACTGAGTTCTACTGAATAGTCATACCCTGGCCACTGCTCCACTCTGTAACTTTGACATGGGGCCTTGTCATACTCTGGGTAAGGCTCAAGGTGAGAGGGGAAAATACCTTGGGAAAATGAATCCCTTTGGAAGTTCCTTGTCACATTTAAATCCTTTTTCACACTCTGGCTGTTATCATTTGCTTTCCAGAATCCTCAGATGGTTGCTTTTTGTATACCATCCAGAGAGTTTGGATATGTGAGTGAAGATGTGGGACCTAGTGAATGCTCCCCACTAAAGTGCTGCCCATGCTCCCCACAGCAGTGGTGTCGTCTCACAGACACAGCATGGCCCGGCTTCAGGGCTGTGCACTAGTTAGCCTCCTTAGGATTGGAGCAGTAGGGCTCCAGCTCTCAGGTCTCCCATTCAGAGATTCAAAGCATTGTCGGGCCAGAAGACTCTGGAGGAGTCATTCCAGCTGCATTTTGA